GAACAGATAAAGTGCATGGTAAAACATAAATAGAAAATAGGCCTAGGCCTACCAGTCAAATTAGATGACAGGAAGTCCATATAATTTTATTAAATTTAAGTACATGTAAAATTTCTTTTTAAAACGTCAAACATCTCTTGTATTATTCCTTTCTTTTTAATGTCATAACTTTTAATGTATTTTCTGTTCCGTACAGAACTTAATTGTACACCGTAAAATTTCAAATTTCATTTTAATACCTGAGACAACTGAAAGTTGTATACTGTAGTTGTCTCAGATATCATTTACGGTATTGAAAATTTTGTAAAGCCCCCTCTATATTATAGTAGCAATAGACGTCGAATCCAGCGTGTTTACATTACACGACCATATGAAAGTCAAAAAATAGATAATGAATGAAAAAATGTTTGACACTGAGGTCGCAATACAGTAAATTGAGGGTGAGTTACATTTTTCTTCTTGAAATACACATTGTAACTTATCTAAAACTCCTCATTTTACAGATTCTTGGATTTATAAGAGTTAGGTCAATCCCTCTCAAAGTGAGTTTATGTTATGTATTGATGTCTATGCATTGATTTTTGATTGTGTACCTACCATCTCAGATCATAGCTAAGCCTATCGCTACCGTCGTCAATGCTTTGTTCGTTTGCTACTTCCTCCGGACATAGAATAGAAGGGGCCTAGCCTTGGCATAAGGCCTGTCGTCGTCTAGGCCTACAGGCGTGTCTACCTATCCCTGGGGTAAGCTACCACGGGGTATTGGGCGCGGGGTGTTGTGTTGTTGCAGACCTGTGTTGTGTGGCCATGTTGTTTCTACCGTGGACGTTTCAATCCCGGTTATTTCAGGGAGTAGTTGTACAATTCCCTGGTCATTTTAACAACGGAGTGCTACTTTTCATAGTATAGCCTAAGCCTATCTAAATTAATTAATGCTAAAAAGCAAAATCGTTTGAACTTTTTTATTTTTTATTTTTTTTTTATTTTTTTATTTTCCATGGAGGTGGTTTTGTTGATTTCAGTACGTCATCGTATACATGGTTGTTGTTTGCAACCCCTTTTCACACATAAAAAAGTTACAGTACATTGTTTTATTTTTTAAACAGCTATACCATTACCAGACTGTAAAGTAAGACCTACGGGGGGAATATATCTTCTGCGCAATTTTGGAAAATAAGGGCCAATTTCTTCGCAGGTTTTGCCAAAAATTAGGCTTTCACCAAATCTTTTCACCTATCACCTATTTTTCTAGCGATTTTCTGCTGAAATTTGAGCTAATATTGGAAGTCATCTGCACAATTAATTATACTTTACAATATGGCAGCTCTATAATTACACTTACTGTACGCTAGGCCTAGTACAAATAATGATTTATGTGACTGTATTTTAAAAATATTAGAAAGATTGTATTTGATTACAGACTATGAACACACTGTATCAAGTATAAATAAGGAAGTGTTTCGACAATATTCAACTAATCAGTGTTATTGTGTAAATTATAATATACACCAAGGATAACCCACTAACTCCAAAGACTTGTACTTCTGATGGTGATTTGGGCAGTACACCGGGAGACAATCCCCTACTTTTTTCCAAACGGTGTAGTAATTTTGGATCATATTGAACAAGTGGCAAACAGCTTAAACGTCTCATCTGAAAGGCAATTGCGCTATATTAACTTTTATTTCTCCAACTGAAACACAAGGAGAGCAGTGATGGGAATTGAAGCAGGGACCGAGATATCTCCACGGTTCAGCGCACGCACAGTGACTACCACCAGTATAGCTGACTGAGCTACAGCTGCTCTCAGTTTGTCTTCAAGTTTTTTTCTCATACCAGTTACTATGTTTGGACATTATTCAACAGTTATTAAACACTAATAGTGGCACTACAGCAGTATAGGCCTACTGTAAAACTTACAGTATATAATTTAATTTATATTTAGTCACCAAACTGTAGACAAAATGATATTCAACATGATGATCCTTTCTTGAATTTACCCATTGGTGCATGTTTCTGAGTTTATTAAATATAATTTAATCAACTAAGATTTTTTACTCATACTGTAGTGCAGCAAAGGGAGGTGGGGGTGGGGGAGGTGGATAGGGTTTACTGTTTTCAAGTGCCAATGTATGTAATGAAACACTTTGAGAAACAGGGATTTAAATACTATGTACTGTATACAGTGTTTAATAAATGAATAAATAACACAATGAAGACACAAGTATTTCTCTATAAACGTTTATTTACGATGACTTAAGACTACGAGAATACGTGAGTTATGTAATATAGGAACGGGCATTTTTTATAAGCGCCACACTGAAGCCTCCGAAAATTTTATAAACACTGTGGCGCTTATTCGAGCATTTACGGTAAAACATACTCCAAATAAAGTATAAAAGACTTGCCACTGTGATTCAATATTTCGATATAATATTTATAGAATATACAATAAAGAAAAACTTAAATTTTTTTTTAAATTTCCATTTTTTGTGGTGGTGGGTGTGCTAATTGGCAAGCACATATCCTGAGTTTACAAAGCTGATGGTGCACACTAAACATAGAGAATATTTTGTTGTCCTCAAAGTTAACTCTAATTTACTATTGGTTCTGTTCCAACTACATTATTTTTAAGTAAATCATTATAACATCATATTTGGTCTTGAAATATTGGGAATTACAATCATCCCCAGTGTTCGAAATAAGGAAAAAACTTAAAGTTGTCCGGCTTACAACCTAGGTGGATACTTTGGTTGTCCGCAAATGTTTTTACTTGTCTGTATATTATCTGTTGCTTGCTTCATTTTTACCTTGCACTGATGGCGCAGCAATGCAGAGTTATGTATGTGTACCATCCATGATGGCCGTCGTAGTAAAGCGCTACCTTTAGGCTTAGTATACATATTATTACATATTAATAAGCCCTCTGACTGACTATTATTTCATTAATGATAATGAGTAATGGTAATAACAAATTATTAAACTATTGTAGCCAAAACGAGGCCAAGTGGAGCATCTTATTCAAAAATAAAGTACCAAGGAATGAAAATTAAAATCGTGTACATTATAACCAAACACCGCAATGCTCGAGTTTCAAATATATGGGTAACTAGCTGTACTGAACTTTCTGAGTAAATTGAGTGCGCAATTGCAAACGATGATGCTTAGCGAAATTTGATTGGCTAAATCTATGGCAGCCATCTTGGATGGTACACACACACAGTTCTGCGTATTTCGAACATCGAATACATTGCGGTTAGCGCTCTAGTATAGTTATTATATCTCTATGGGCCCACCACAGTATAAGTAACACGCGAGAGGGCGCCTCAGTTCAAGTCTCAGACCAAAACTCGAGAAAACATGTGATTCAGCGAATCCAAAATGGCCGCGCCCGTGAAAACAATGCAGTAAAGTTCGGGAGGAAAAAAACGATTACTTGAGGTGTGGTTTGGGTCCAAAATTTTTTGGTTGTCCCACGGACAAGTTGCCCTATAGTTCTGGTTGTCCGTGGGACATTTTGGTTGGCTGGGACAAGCGGACAAGCCTTATTTCGAACACTGACTCCCATTTTCCATGCTTTTTTTGCACTATTAATGGAACTGAAATAGATTATATCACAGATCGTTGAGTGTAAAACACCATGGGAAAGGGTTACAGTAAAGAATTTGAATAAAAGAGACTATTTTCATGGTTGAGCACAGACAATAAAATTGGTTCCCATTGATGCTAACTGTACTATCATACAG